TACAAAGATATGAATGGTACTTGGTATTCCTATAGGTTCCTAGGGTTAAATCATCATAATCACTTTCGGATGGAGTATAGATACTTTGCAACACTCAGATATGAAAGAAATATAATATGGTGATAAGAAATTAAACATATATAACACAACTCGTGTTTCATAATAAATCCCACCCCTCTAGGGAGTCTGCACACTATTTAAATGTTGGCTAGGCTGTGCAATCTTTAGCACAGCACTAGACAATTGTAGTCCCACCCTTACATCAGGTCAGTACGAATAATAGATTAGGCTAGGTTGACCATTATTTAGTTCAGCTCCAGCCTAATATTGTCTTACTCCATACATAAGGGTTGGCATTTAATTGTAATACAGTAATGTACAGAAAAGGATTAGTGCAATATTTTATTTGTTTTTTGTTATTTTATATTAAAAAGAAATATATGCATTTACTATGTGTGGCCACAACCTCCTATGGTGGAACCACTTTAGTGCTGCTGTTAATAATGATTAAATAATTGTGAGCTGTAGCTCCTGGTCACCTGAATATTCATCAGGTATTTAATAGCAGCTGTGATCTTGTTCACTTTAATTGTTAACTGAGATTTGCCGAGTGAGGATTGGAATTTATATAACGGTATTTATCGCTATAAGTTATTTAGATGTGCACTAGTTCATTTATGGACCACAAGGATCCCGGTTCGAAGAACCAAATTTAAGTGGGGGATTTTCACAGCTGGTATTAGTTGAATTTATTTATTTAATTGAGTGAACTGTATTAATATTTTGATCTTCTGGGTGTTACACTCTACATATAATTGGGAGTTATTATGAATACTTTGGGTTATATCCCAAATTCAATGGGAGTAACAATAAACCACAGAATGTTATGTTAGTTAACTACCAATGAATTAGTATTCTACTCATTAATATAATGAATTGTGAGCTTTGCTCTAATGTCGTAACAGCCTGGCAAGAAGCTCTCGTTGTCCTTCAGTGGCATTTTGGGTACCTCGTAGGCAAACAACGTAATGGCGACTTAAGGATTCTTCTGGAACTACAGGTAAATACGACGTCTTCTCTTTAACCGCACCTAGGTTTGTGGGTATGCCTGTGTTATAACCGAAACAACTAATCAACTCGTCGGTTGGGCGGAATTTGCTATCCGTGTCGCGAAGCTCAAGGGAGAAGCATGTACTAATTGCCACAGAGCGTCACAGTCTACACATCTGGAGAGTCATGTGCTTCCTCCTTCCTCCGCTTCCTCCCCTCAATCCTTCTGGATGCGTCTAATTATCAGCTGATTTTATTATCAGCTAGGGAGGAAGACATTTTGGGATTTGTTATGCAATATTATATGCTGTATATAATGAATGTCTTCGTTAACATTTCAACTAAAAATTGGAAGCATTTTAATTTTATGGAGGGAAATATTAGGTACTGGCCGGTGTGGTTGACGCAATACCTTCCTACGGTTACAAGAGAATCTCTCTCTCCTTAACAAGTTTAATAGTATTGTATTGTTATTAATGAACTGACCTAACTATTTTAATTAAGCAGTTCAGTTATTAGTAATGGTTGTCGGAATTTACGACAAAAGGGTATACAAGTGGATGAAAGGGTATATAAAAAAGAGGATATTATTAAGGTGTTAAATATAGCAACACAAAACTGAACACGAAAAAGCAGATACGAATTTGTAAGTGTAGTTAAAGGAAAGACCTGGCAAAATATTATATTGAAAACAGGGTTGTTGATTTATAGAATTAATTACTTGGTGACATTTTTATTTTTTTTATTTTTTTGTTTACATGCAAACATGCGTATAAGTTACAATAAAAGCAGAAACAAATATAACATAGAACAAAGGTACAAAGCACAAAGCACACATATGTACACGGACAAAGGAACAAATCAAGAGAAGACCAGCGAGAAGGGCTGACCACAAGACAAAAATGCATATACAAATATAACAAATATAAACACAGCGGAAGACAAACATAGGGGAAAACCCCAGAACAAAATGCACACAAAACAAGCCTACTAACACCTCAAACACACACGGAGAGGCGAGAAACATACAATAATATGGATAATAACAATAAAGGAAACATCTGCCAAAACAAACGGAAGGCAAAACAGAACAAAGAGCACACGCCAACAGCCTGAAGGGCACACAATATGACAAACAAGCGCACACGACATCCACAAACGAACACACACGCACAGGAACCGCACACCCATCCACCAGCCATACAAAGAAAACCCACAACACAAACCGGAGCACGCAGGAACCGGGAACAAAACCCACCCCACCCACTCACACACACACCCCATCCGCACCCCACAACCATGCACACAACAGGAAACACAGAATACACAGAAATCCTTTGCTAGGAACAACGTGAGAAATGTACTTCTGGAAAAAATCGTAAGAATACTTCCTCTTGTAAGCTTCCCAGACCAAATGTTCAAGGTCGGTAGGGTTTTTGATCCCCCGCTGCCGAGGGGGTACTATAAACTCAGGAACATCCAGATCGGGCGACATCGGCCAACGCCCGAGGTCAATGACGCAAGTCGCATAACGAGGCCCGGGAGCGCCATCCACGCCCTTCGAGGAAACAAACGACACTGGAGAAGCGGACGAAGGCTGCCGAGACTGCCTCGCCGTCACACGCACAGGAGCAGGGGTCAGACGATGAGACGGTAGCACCTCCACGGAGACCACAGGAGACACGGAAGAGACCGCTGGAGACGGAAGAGGCTGCATGACCGCTGTCGAGGAAGGGGCCACAGAACTCCCAGAGCGAGCATCCTTTCTCAACACCATCACCAGGCCACCCCACACACCACCAACCTCAGCAGGGGGAACCACCCCCCATGAAGAACCGGAGCCATCCGACGCAGGCAACGCACCTGAAGCAGGACCCCCGGACACCAGACCAGACGGGGAGGCCGAAACACCGGCATCCTCAGGCAAGTGCACCTCCGCCACTACCGTAGTGTGCACCACAACCGGAGCCACCTCACCGTCACTGGAAGGACCACACTTGTCGAAGTCGCCAACGTCAGCCCACGCAGAAGAACGCCGGGAACGCTTAGGCTCGGGCCACACATCATCAGACCTGGAGGCAGACTCGGCGACACGCGCAACACTAGCCGGGCGAACCGACGCACGCCGCAGTACAGCAGCATCCTCAACCACATGGGGCACCAGGCCAGGCATAGGAGGAAGCGCCGGATCCACCCCAGCTCCCAGCACAGCCGGAACAGACGGCGAGGGTGCAGGGAACAGGACAGACACAGCAGAGGAAGAACTGGAAGACGAGGGGTCCGAGCAGACGGCAGTCGGAAGAGGCTCAGGGACACCATGCAGCCGGAGCAGGCGGAGCGCCAGACGAGGACACAACCTACAGAGGGGGAATTATCAGGGAGAAAGCGCCAAGCCATTACGACTATATAGCACTTGGAAGCGATCAGGAATAGGAGTTTGGGATGGGACGGAGGGAAAGAATGGTGCCCAGGCACAACCTACAGAAGAGAGGCGACAACAACAGGGGGCGCAACAGGCGGAGCAACAGCTGACACAGAGGGCACCTCCTCAGCCGAAGAGACGTCCACATCCACCGAATCATCCCCCCACAGGAAGCGGCGGAAAATCCTCCTCACTGAAGAGATTCACTGGCGCAACGGCAGGCGCAGAACAGTCAGCAGCCTGATGGCCCAAGAGGCCACAACGATAACACGTCCGCGGGTGTAAAACACCCGAACGTTGTACCCCATAAGGCGCACAAAGGACAGAATATCTGCCCAGAGCCTCATGCCCAGGGTGCGAATGTTAGGCCTCACACCCTTAAGTGGACTGGAAGACACCACGTTCACCTGCACACTAACCACTGCGCCAAACCGGCCGAAATACCGCTGTAGTTGACCCTCCGGAAATTCCAAGGGAGCCCCATGCACACTGACGTAAGTGAGGGCACCACTCCGATCAGAGAGAATCACAATGCTCGCACCATCCGGCAGGGGTAATGTCCGCCCCTCGTATTGCCGGAGAAAATCGCGATACGCCATCTCCTCCGTGAATTTCACTATCGCCCGACGGGCCGTTACCAACTCGACCCCATAAATTGCTAACACGGGGACAGATAGGACACCACAAGCCAGCACAATCTCCGGGTAACCGGCCCGCACAGAGAATTAGAGTCCCACAGAGTGAGCCCGGACGACAGGGGGGAGAGGGACCGCCATCGTAACTCCACGTCAGCACAGGCGGGCAGAGACACACCCGCCCCCAACCGGCCAAACTGGTAAACAAGCACCAACTGCGGGTGCGCCGAAGCAACACGTCTGCCCCCTACCGAATCTAGGGCCAGACCTGGGGCCAGATTCACGAAAGCACTTACGCAACCACTTACGAACGTGAACATCTTTCCTCAATCTTTGACGGCTTTGGTTACATTTATTAAACAGTTTACAAGCATGAAAACTTCCCATTCAACTGTTGTTATTGTTATAAACAGCCTCCTGGTGCTTCGGGGCTCATTAACTGCTTAATAATTGGAAACAAAGCCGCCAAAGCTTATGCAAAGATGTACAGGTTCGTAAGTGTTTGCGTAAGTGCTTTCGTGAATCTGGCCCCTGGTGACATAATTCGTGAGATCTCTGCACAGTTTCAAGCATAAGTTAGAGGTATATGAATGAGTTATGATGCACGTAGATGCACATACAAATCACGTAGATGTATATAGATAGCACCTGCCTCCCTTGGCCCGCGGGACCTACTGTAGTTATCTTTATTCCTAATAATAGGCTGAATACAAAACATGATATGTACTTGCAATTAAAATAATTGCAGGAATATATTGAACAATGCTAGATAAAGCACTCACATTAATGTTTTTGAGCAATTAATGTGTAGCTAAAATATTATATTTGCATATATATTAAAATTCCATAATTTATAGTCAAATGTCTGCAATTAAAGGATGAATAAAACAATGTTTCATTATTCATGTTTTATTCCAATAAGTGTTAACAAACTATGTACATATATGTGTGTATCAAAGAGTATGCATATGTATCATAGTGTTTATACGTGTTTGATGGTTTATATATGTGTATCATGCGTGTATTGTATGGTAAATGTATGAGTCGTTGTGTATATAAATGTATTTTGGTGTATCACACGCATGTTAAGGTGTTAAAGAGTTTATACATCACGAAGTATGTGGAACTGTTGTGTCGACCAGCTCTGTGTCTGCCCAGCTCCGTGTCGACCAGCTCCGTGTCGACCAGCTCTGTGTCGCCCAGCTCCGTGTCGCCCAGCTCCGTGTCGACCAGCTCTGTGTCGCCCAGCTCCGTGTCGACCAGCTCCGTGTCGACCAGCTCCGTGTCGACCAGCTCCGTGTCGACCAGCTCCGTGTCGACCAGCTCTGTGTCGCCCAGCTCCGTGTCGACCAGCTCCGTGTCGACCAGCTCCGTGTCGACCAGCTCCGTGTCGACCAGCTCTGTGTCGCCCAGCTCTGTGTCGACCAGCTCCGTGTCGACCAGCTCCGTGTCGACCAGATCCGTGTCGACCAGCTCTGTGTCGACCAGCTCCGTGTCGACCAGCTCCGTGTCGACCAGCTCCGTGTCGACCAGCTCTGTGTCGACCAGCTCCGTGTCGCCCAGCTCCGTGTCGACCAGCTCCGTGTCGAACAGGTTTGAAACTTATTTTATCGTCTTCAATAATTGTTTTTACCGCCAATAAAATTGCCACAAGTTGGGAAGTTAGGCGGGACGTCCGGGAGGTCCTTGTCTGCCCCTATCCTGATGACCAGGTCCATCCCCGCTGCTGAGTGTAGCAGCACGTGACAGTGTAGCAGCCAGTAGCCTGTGGGGGTATACAGTGTACAGTGTAGCAGCCAGTAGCCTGTGGGGGTATACAGTGTACAGTGTAGCAGCCAGTAGCCTGTGGGGTATACAGTGTAGCAGCCAGTAGCCTGTGGGGTATACAGTGTACAGTGTAGCAACCAGTAGCCTGTGGGGTATACAGTGTACAGTGTAGCAGCCAGTAGCCTGTGGGGTATACAGTGTACAGTGTAGCAGCCAGTAGTCTGTGGGGTATACAGTGTACAGTGTAGCAGCCAGTAGCCTGTGGGGGTATACAGTGTACAGTGTAGCAGCCAGTAGCCTGTGGGGTATACAGTGTACAGTGTAGCAGCCAGTAGCCTGTGGGGTATACAGTGTACAGTGTAGCAGCCAGTAGCCTGTGGGGGTATACAGTGTACAGTGTAGCAGCCAGTAGCCTGTGGGGTATACAGTGTACAGTGTAGCAGCCAGTAGCCTGTGGGGGTATACAGTGTGCAGTGTAGCAGCCAGTAGCCTGTGGGGGTATACAGTGTACAGTGTAGCAGCCAGTAGCCTGTGGGGTATACAGCGTACAGTGTAGCAGCCAGTAGCCTGTGGGGGTATACAGTCTACAGTGTAGCAGCACGTGACAGTGTAGCAACCAGTAGCCTGTGGGGTATACAGTGTACAGTGTAGCAGCCAGTAGCCTGTGGGGGTATACAGTGTACAGTGTAGCAGCCAGTAGCCTGTGGGGGTATACAGTGTACAGTGTAGCAGCCAGTAGCCTGTGGGGGTATACAATGTACAGTGTAGCAGCCAGTAGCCTGTGGGGGTATACAGTGTACAGTGTAGCAGCCAGTAGTCTGTGGGGTATACAGTGTACAGTGCGGAAGCCAGTAGCCTGTGGGGGTATACAGTGTACAGTGTAGCAGCACGTGACAGTGTAGTAGCCAGTAGCCTGTGGGGGTATACAGTGTACAGTGTAGCAGCCAGTAGCTTGTGGGGTTATACAGTGTAGCAGCCAGTAGCCTGTGGGGTTATACAGTGTAGCAATTAGTAGCCTGTGGGGTTATACATTATACAGTGTAGCAGCCAGTAGCCTGTGGGGTTATACAGTATACAGTGTAGCAGCCAGTAGCTGCGGGGTTATACAGTGTAGCAGCCAGTAGCCTGTGGGGTTATACAGTGTAGCAATTAGTAGCCTGTTGGGTTATACAGTGTAGCAGCCAGTAACCTGTGGGGTTATACAGTGTAGCAGCCAGTAGCCTGTGGGGTTATACAGTGTAGCAATTAGTAGCCTGTGGGGTTATACAGTGTAGCAGCCAGTAACCTGTGGGGTTATACAGTGTAGCAGCCAGTAACCTGTGGGGTTATACAGTGTAGCAGCCAGTAGCCTGTGGGGTTATACAGTGTAGCAGCCAGTAACCTGTGGGGTTATACAGTGTAGCAGCCAGTAACCTGTGGGGTTATACAGTGTAGCAGCCAGTAGCCTGTGGGGTTATACAGTGTAGCAGCGAGTAGCCTGTGGGGTTATACAGTGTAGCAATTAGTAGCCTGTTGGGTTATACAGTGTAGCAGCCAGTAACCTGTGGGGTTATACAGTGTAGCAGCCAGTAACCTGTGGGGTTATACAGTGTAGCAGCCAGTAGCCTGTGGGGTTATACAGTGTAGCAGCGAGTAGCCTGTGGGGTTATACAGTGTAGCAATTAGTAGCCTGTGGGGTTATACAGTGTAGCAGCCAGTAGCCTGTGGGGTTATACAGTATACAGTGTAGCAGCCAGTAGCTGCGGGGTTATACAGTGTAGCAGCCAGTAGCCTGTGGGGTTATACAGTGTAGCAGCCAGTAGCCTGTGGGGTTATACAGTGTAGCAGCCAGTAGCCTGTGGGGTTATACAGTGTAGCAATTAGTAGCCTGTGGGGTTATACAGTATACAGTGTAGCAGCCAGTAGCTGCGGGGTTTACAGTGCAGCAGCCAGTAGCCTGTGGGGTTATACAGTGTAGCAATTAGTAGCCTGTGGGGTTATACATTATACAGTGTAGCAGCCAGTAGCCTGTGGGGTTATACATTATACAGTGTAGCAGCCAGTAGCCTGTGGGGGTTATACATTATACAGTGTAGCAGCCAGTAGCCTGTGGGGTTATACAGTGTAGCAGCCAGTAGCCTGTGGGGTTATACATTATACAGTGTAGCAGCCAGTAGCCTGTGGGGTTATACATTATACAGTGTAGCAGCCAGTAGCCTGTGGGGGTTATACATTATACAGTGTAGCAGCCAGTAGCCTGTGGGGTTATACAGTGTAGCAGCCAGTAGCCTGTGGGGTTATACATTATACAGTGTAGCAGCCAGTAGCCTGTGGGGTTATACATTATACAATGCAGCAGCCAGTAGCCTGTGGGGTTATACAATATACAGTGAAGGTAACTTTCATACAGTGTTGTACAATGTAGGGAGCTCAAATTCAAAATCCAATGCATGAAGTCTCATATAATATATAGTGAATGCACTCACATACAATGAAAAGTGAATGAAATCTCATACAATGCACAATGAATGAGCTCCTTTACAATGAACAGTGAATGTAAGCTCCCTTACAATACACAGTAGATGAACACTCATACATTGACGAGTGAATGAACTCTCATACAAGGCACGGTGAAGGGAACGTAAATGTATGAAAAAAATGTATAAAAAGGTTACCAACTTGAACAATACCTGGATTACTGGCGAGAAACCTGACGACAGTGTAGCCTCCGTCAGGCAGTGTGACCGTGTCCTTGTAGACCGGCCGGTCCAGGTTCCTCACCAGGCGGCCGGCCCGGTCCATCTCCATCACCTGCACGACACAAACACCAGGTCAGTCATCAACAACATGGTTGGCTCACTACGTCGCCCATGGCAAACTTCTCAGCTAAGTTTGTCGTTGATATATTATTTGTCTACCGAGTGAATCATTCTGGTGTGTTTTCTCAGCTGGTGTGCCTTCACGGCAACACTGAGGGGTCAGCTGGTGTGCCGTCACGGCAACACTGAGGGGTCAGCTGGTGTGGCTTCACGGCAACACTGAGGGGTCAGCTTGTGTGCCCTCACGGCAACACTGAGGGCTCTGCTGGTGTGCCTTCACGGCCACACTGAGGGCTCTGCTGGTGTGCCTTCACGGCAACACTGAGGGCTCAGCTGGTGTGCCTTCACGGCAACACTGAGGGGTCAGCTGGTGTGGCTTCACGGCAACACTGAGGGCTCTGCTGGTGTGCCTTCACGGCAACACTGAGGGGTCAGCTGGTGTGCCTTCACGGCAACACTGAGGGCTCTGCTGGTGTGCCTTCACGGCAACACTGAGGGGTCAGCTGGTGTGCCTTCACGGCAACACTGAGGGCTCTGCTGGTGTGCCTTCACGGCAACACTGAGGGGTCAGCTGGTGTGCCTTCACGGCAACACTGAGGGGTCAGCTGGTGTGCCTTCACGGCAACACTGAGGGCTCAGCTCGTGTTACTTCACGGCAACACTGAGGGCTCAGCTGGTGTGCCTTCACGGCAACACTGAGGGCTCAGCTGGTGTTCCTTCATGGCAACACTGAGGGCTCAGCTGGTGTTCCTTCATGGCAACACTGAGGGCTCAACTGGTGTGCCTTCACGGCAACACTGAGGGCTCAGCTGGTGTGCCTTCACGGCAACACTGAGGGCTCAGCTGGTGTGCCCTCACGGCAACACTGAGGGCTCAGCTGGTGTGCCTTCACGGCAACACTGAGGGCTCAGCTGGTGTGCCCTCACGGCAACACTGAGGGCTCAGCTGGTGTGCCTTCATGGCAACACTGAGGGCTCAGCTGGTGTGCCCTCACGGCAACACTGAGGGCTCAGCTGGTGTGCCCTCACGGCAACACTGAGGGCTCAGCTGGTGTGCCCTCACGGCAACACTGAGGGCTCAGCTGGTGTGCCCTCACGGCAACACTGAGGGCCAATCGCTGATAGCTGTGTTGCCTCTCTCACGGTGGCATGTGTGGAGATGAAGGAACTACAGTGATGGTTGCTGTAGGAGACCATAGTTTTTATTCCATACTCTAGGGACCCCAGGTGTCACCATACTCTAGGGACCCTCTAGGGACCCCAGGTGTCACCATACTTTAGGGGCCCCCCTCTAGGGACCCCAGGTGTCACCATACTCTAGGGACCCCCCTCTAGGGACCCCAGGTGTCACTATACACTAGGACCCCCCCTCTAGGGACCCAGGTGTCACCATACTCTAGGGACCCCCCTCTAGGAACCCCAGGTGTCACCATACTCTAGGACCCCCCTCTAGGGACCCCAGGTGTCACCATACTCTAGAGCCCTCTAGGGACCCCAGGTGTCACCATACTCTAGGACCCTCTAGGGACCCCAGGTGTCACCATACTCTAGGGACCCCTCTAGGGACCCCAGGTGTCACCATACTCTAGGACCCTCTAGGGACCCCAGGTGTCACCATACTCTAGAGCCCTCTAGGGACCCCAGGTGTCACCATACTCTAGGACCCTCTAGTTACCCCAGGTGTCACCATACTCTAGGGACCCCTCTAGGGACCCCAGGTGTCACCATACTCTAGGACCCTCTAGGGACCCCAGGTGTCACCATACTCTAGGACCCCTCTAGGGACCCCAGGTGTCATCATACTCTAGGACCCTCTAGAGACCCCAGGTGTCACCATACTCTAGGGACCTCTCTAGGGACCCCAGGTGTCACCATACTCTAGGACCCTCTAGGGACCCCAGGTGTCACCATACTCTAGGACCCTCTAGGGACCCCAGGTGTCACCATACTCTAGGACCCTCTAGGGACCCCAGGTGTCACCATACTCTAGGACCCCCCTCTAGGGACCCCAGGTGTCACTATACTCTAGGACCCCCTCTAGGGACCCCAGGTGTCACCATACTCTAGGACCCCCCTCTAGGGACCCCAGGTGTCACTATACTCTAGGACCCCCCTCTAGGGACCCCAGGTGTCACTATACTCTAGGGACCCCAGGTGTCACTATACTCTAGGGACCCCCCTCTAGGGACCCCAGGTGTCACCATACTCTAGGGACCCCCTCTAGGGACCCCAGGTGTCACCATACTCTAGGACCCTCTAGGGACCCCAGGTGTCACCATACTCTAGGACCCTCTAGGGACCACAGGTGTCACCATACTCTAGGACCCTCTAGGGACCCCAGGTGTCACCATACTCTAGGACCCTCTAGGGACCCCAGGTGTCACCATACTGTAGGGGCCCCCTCTAGGGACCCCATGTGTCACCATACTCTAAAACCCTCTAGGGACCCCAGGTGTCACCATACTCTAGGACCCTCTAGGGACCCCAGGTGTCACCATACTCTAGGACCCTCTAGGGACCCCAGGTGTCACCATACTCTAGGACCCTCTAGGGACCCCAGGTGTCACCATACTCTAGGACCCTCTAGGGACCCCAGGTGTCACCATACTCTAGGACCCTCTAGGGACCCCAGGTGTCACCATACTCTAGGGCCCCTCTAGGGACCCCAGGTGTCACCATACTCTAGGACCCTCTAGGGACCCCAGGTGTCACCATACTGTAGGGGCCCCCTCTAGGGACCCCAGGTGTCACCATACTGTAGGGGCCCCCTCTAGGGACCCCAGGTGTCACCATACTCTAGGACCCTCTAGGGACCCCAGGTGTCACCATACTGTAGGGCCCCTCTAGGGACCCCAGGTGTCACCATACTCTAGGACCCTCTAGAGACCCCAGGTGTCACCATACTCTAGGACCCTCTAGGAACCCCAGGTGTCATACTCTAGGGACCCCAGGTGTCTCCATACTCTAGCACCCTCTAGGGACCCCAGGTGTCATCATACTCTAGGGACCCTCTAGGCACCCCAGGTGTCACTATACTCAAGGACCCTCTAGGCACCCCAGGTGTCACTATACTCAAGGACCCTGTAGGCACCCCAGGTGTCACTATACTCAAGGACCCTCTAGGGACCCCAGGTGTCACTATACTCAAGGACCCTCTAGGCACCCCAGGTGGCACCATACTCAAGGACCCTCTAGGCACCCCAGGTGTCACTATACTCTAGGACCCTCTAGGCACCCCAGGTGTCACCATACTCTAGGACCCTCTAGGGACCCCAGGTGTCACTATACTCTAGGGCCCCTCTAGGGACCCCAGGTGTCACCATACTCTAGGGCCCCTCTAGGGACCCCAGGTGTCACCATACTCTAGGACCCTCTAGGGACCCCAGGTGTCACCATACTCTAGGGCCCCTCTAGGGACCCCAGGTGTCACCATACTCTAGGACCCTCTAGGGACCCCAGGTGTCACCATACTCTAGGGCCCCTCTAGGGAACCCAGGTGTCACCATACTCTAGGGGCCCCTCTAGGGTCCCCAGGTGTCACCATACAGCAGTACTAACAAGATAACTGTACAGAAGGAAGCACAACAGACAACTCTGTGAAGCTTGTGAGAACAAGGCTGTAGCAGCCACCATCGTGAACCACTACGGGCGACAAACAGGTGGTCGAGGGAGACAATGTGTAGTAGCAGCAACATGTCGTGCTGTACACCAACACCCTCAGGGATCAGGGACGACAGCAACATGTCGTGCTGTACACCAACACCGTCAGGGACCAGGGACAACAGCAACATGTCGTGCTGTACACCAACACCCTCAGGGATCAGGGACGACAGCAACATGTCGTGCTGTACACCAACACCCTCAGGGACCAGGAACAACAGCAACATGTCATGCTGTACACCAACACCCTCAGGGATCAGGGACGACAGCAACATGTCGTGCTGTACACCAACACCCTCAGGGACCAGGGACGACAGCAACATGTCGTGCTGTACACCAACACCCTCAGGGATCAGGGACGACAGCAACATGTCGTGCTGTACACCAACACCCTCAGGGATCAGGGACGACAGCAAGATGTCGTGCTGTACACCAACACCCTCAGGGATCAGGGACGACAGCAAGACGTCGTGCTGTACACCAACACCCTCAGGGATCAGGGACGACAGCAACATGTCGTGCTGTACACCAACACCCTCAGGGACCAGGGACGACAGCAACATGTCGTGCTGTACACCAACACCCTCAGGGATCAGGGACGACAGCAACATGTCGTGCTGTACACCAACACCCTCAGGGATCAGGGACGACAGCAAGATGTCGTGCTGTACACCAACACCCTCAGGGATCAGGGACGACAGCAAGACGTCGTGCTGTACACCAACACCCTCAGGGATCAGGGACGACAGCAACATGTCGTGCTGTACACCAACACCCTCAGGGACCAGGGACGACAGCAACATGTCGTGCTGTACACCAACACCCTCAGGGACCAGGGACGACAACTGAGACAAACAGTGGAGCGCAATATATATAACTCCTGGACCCTCACCTCAGAAACTGAGACCATGAAATACACTCATACAGTGTGTTACCTGTGGATTATACATTATAATGTATATACTGTATATATATATATATATATATATATATATATATATATATATATATATATATATATATATATATATATATATATATATATATATATACTGTATAATGTATAACCTAGTGCATGAACTCCCCCACGTAGACACTTTAACTAGAAGGTCGGTAAACAAATGTTCTTCCCCTTGTTTAATGTGTTCACTTACGACAGTCAGGCGAGGTCAGCCCCTGCATGAGGGAACATGTAACAGGATGAACAGCATAGTCAGTGTTCTTCCTAAAGCAGGATCCACAACACATGTCGATACCAGCATGTTCACTAGCATGATCAATACCTCAGGGTGTGTTCTTCACACTGGGGGAGGGTGCTCTGACCTGGCTCCCAGTGATCTCACTGACCTGGCTCCTAGTGATCTCACTGACCTGGCTCCTAGTGATCTCACTGACCTGGCTCCTAGTGATCTCACTGACCTGGCTCCTAGTGATCTCACTGACCTGGCTCCTAGTGATCTCACTGACCTGGCTCCTAGTGATCTCACTGACCTGGCTCCTAGTGATCTCACTGACCTGGCTCCTAGTGATCTCACTGACCTGGCTCCTAGTGATCTCACTGACCTGGCTCCTAGTGATCTCACTGACCTGGCTCCTAGTGATCTCACTGACCTGGCTCCTAGTGATCTCACTGACCTGGCTCCTAGTGATCTCACTGACCTGGCTCCTAGTGATCTCACTGACCTGGCTCCTAGTGATCTAATTGACATGGCTCCTAGTGATCTCACTGACCTGGCTCCTGGTGATCTCACTAACCTGGCTCCTAGTGATCTCACTGACCTGGCTCCTAGTGATCTCACTGATCTGGCTCCTAGTGATCACACTGACCTGGCTCCCAGTGATCTCACTGACCTGGCTCCTAGTGATCTAATTGACATGGCTCCTAGTGATCTCACTGACCTGGCTCCTGGTGATCTCACTAACCTGGCTCCTAGTGATCTCACTGACCTGGCTCCTAGTGATCTCACTGACCTGGCTCCTAGTGATCACACTGACCTGGCTCCTAGTGATCTCACTGACCTGGCTCCTGGTGATCACACTGACCTGGCTCCTAGTGATCTCACTGACCTGGCTCCTAGTGATCTAATTGACATGGCTCCTAGTGATCTCACTGACCTGGCTCCTGGTGATCTCACTAACCTGGCTCCTAGTGATCTCACTGACCTGGCTCCTAGTGATCTCACTGACCTGACTCCTGGTGATCACACTGACCTGGCTCCTAGTGATCTCACTGACCTGGCTCCTAGTGATCTCACTGACCTGGCTCCTGGTGATCTCACTGACCTGGCTCCTAGTGATCTCACTGACCTGGCTCCTAGTGATCTCACTGACCTGGCTCCTAGTGATCACACTGACCTTGCTCCTGGTGATCTCACTGACCTGGCTCCTGGTGATCACACTGACCTGGCTCCTAGTGATCTCACTGACCTGGCTCCTAGTGATCACACTGACCTTGCTCCTGGTGATCTCAGCCTCCGGGACATCGTTGGGACGGTCCTGTCCCAGGACCCAGAAGTGATCACCGTGCAGGTGGACCGGGTGGTTGTCGTCACCATTTATTCCTGTAGATGGTGAATTAATTCATTAATTATTCCTGACTACATGAAGTATTAAACTTATTCCTCAATCATGTAATTGAAAACTGCATCATTTTATAATTAAGTGTTGACTGCAGTAGGCTGTAAGGTAGGATGACAGTCCACACTTGTGTATGGGTGAAATTTATGTAAGGAATTTACACCCTAATTGGTGTATATTGCTCACATAAATTTCTCAAATACACTAGTGTGGATTTTTATTCTATGTTAATATGTCTGTGAGAAGACATTACATTATTACTCTAAGTTATTGATGGAAGTTGATGAGATATATTATTTGAAAATCGAAACCGGAATGTGTTTAATAAAATATGTTGTGTATCAGAAATACTTTGATGTGATGAATAGGTACTGCAAAGTTGGTATAGATTATTACTCTTGTACACAATATACTCTTTGTAGGTCCAGGCGGGCGCTGTCACCCGTCTAGCGCCCTCTACCCGTCCAGGCGAGCACTGTCAGCCGTCTAGCGCCCTCTACCCGTCCAGGCGAGCACTGTCAGCCGTCTAGTGCCCTCTACCCGTCCAGGTGGGCACTGTCAGCCGTCTAGTGCCTCTACCCGTCCAGGCGAGCACTGTCAGCCGTCTAGCGCCCTCTACCCGTCCAGGCGGGCACTGTCAGCCGTCTAGTGCCCTCTACCCGTCCAGGCGGGCACTGTCAGCCGTCTAGCGCCCTCTACCCGTCCAGGCGGGCACTGTCAGCCGTCTAGTGCCCTCTACCCGTCCAGGCGGGCACTGTCAGCCGTCTAGCGCCCTCTACCCGTCCAGGCGGGCACTGTCAGCCGTCTAGTGCTCTCTACCCGTCCAGGTGGGCACTGTCACCCGTCTAGTGCTCTCTACCCGTCCAGGCGGGCACTGTCAGCCGTCTAGTGCTCTCTACCCGTCCAGGTGGGCACTGTCACACGTCTAGTGCTCTCTACCCGTCCAGGCGGGCACTGTCAGCCGTCTAGCGCCCTCTACCCGTCCAGGTGGGCACTGTCAGCCGTCTAGCGCCCTCTACCCGTCCAGGCGGGCACTGTCAGCCGTCTAGTGCCCTCTACCCGTCCAGGCGGGCACTGTCAGCCGTCTAGTGCCCTCTACCCGTCCAGGCGGGCACTGTCAGCCGTCTAACGCCCTCTACCCGTCCAGGCGGGCACTGTCAGCCGTCTAGCGCCCTCTACCCGTCCAGGCGGGCACTGTCAGCCGTCTAGCGCTCTCTACCCGTCCAGGTGGGCACTGTCAGCCGTCTAGCGCCCTCTACCCGTCCAGGCGGGCACTGTCAGCCGTCTAGCGCCCTCTACCCGTCCAGGCGGGCACTGTCACCCGTCTAGCGCCCTCTACCCGTCCAGGTGGGCACTGTCACCCGTCTAGTGCCCTCTACCCGTCCAGGTGGGCACTGTCACCCGTCTAGCGCCCTCTACCCGTCCAGGTGGGCACTGTCAGCCGTCTAGCGCCCTCTACCCGTCCAGGCGGGCACTGTCAGCCGTCTAGTACCCTCTACCCGTCCAGGTGGGCACTGTCACCCGTCTAGCGCCCTCTACCCGTCCAGGTGGGCACTGTCACCCGTCTAGTGCTCTTCTATGTTACAAGGAGCAGCATGATTATGTTGCGAGGATGATCATGTTATATGAAGGGACATTGTCATGTTGCAAGGTTGATCATGTTACAAGAAGAAGTAGGGTTATGGTGCAAGGTTGAGCAAGCTATAGGTAGGGGCATCTTCGTGTTACAAGGATGATCATGTTACAGGAAGGGATAGGCTCATGTTACAAGGATGATCATGTTACAGGAAGGGATAGGCTCATGTTACAAAGTTGAAAATTTTAGAAAAAGTAGCCTGTAATCATGTTGCAAAGTTGAGCATATTACAGGAAGCGTCGGGGTCATGTTGCATGGTTAATTATGCTGAGTGATGTGAAGTGAGGAGGTGGGTGTGGGGGTGTGGGGGGTCATGTTGCAGGGGTGGTGCAGGAAGAGTGGGGGAGATCACGTGTCAATGGACCTGCAACAAGGGGGGGGCCCGCTACAGAGAGCCATCAGAGGTCTGAGTACATATATGTTCAAGTCAACACTGGTCTGAAGGAATGATCCGGCGAGGACTGACCTTCGTCAATGAGCACCAGGTCAACAGTGGCCCCCAGCGGGATGCTGTAGAGGTGCAGGCACTCGCAGTAGTCGGCGTCGCAGTTGGTGTCAGGGGGCGGGTGCTCAGCGTTGCACACTCGCCTCTCCTGACCTCTCAAGCCAGTGAGGAGGAGCGGGGCGGCGGGCTGGGCGTACGAGAGGTTGTTGATCTGCGGGGTCGTCACCTGCTGGCTCGTGTCAACTGCAGGAGAGTGAGCAGGTGTCCTCAGGTTTGTTTACATACTCTATGACCAGCTTATTAAGGGTAGCCTTGACCACCAGCTGTAAGGTTACGTGGGGCTAACACCCCCTCTCTCGTCTCCGACTTTCCAACTGTCCAGGAAGACAAGGCTCGCCCCACAGTCTTACATACAAACAATAAAGAAACACTTATAATCTCTAGGAGAGGAGGCAGCTACCTCGCCGTAGTCTATCTCAGCCAATTCTCTAATTGAGGCGAGGAAGAATATCACTGACCGCCAGTTCGTCAGTTCCCCTACAACGTCATCTTAACCTCTCTTGTAACTCTTCTCTCTGTAACTCTCCCACTAACATTGTCCAGGTGGTTAATGTTCAGACCACGCTTATCTCCACCCCCAAGGTAACACAAGCCAGGGGTAATGTTCAGACCACGCTACCTTACCTTATCTCTACCCCCAAGGTAACACAAGCCAGGGGTAATGTTCAGACCACGCTACCTTACCTTGTCTCCACCCCAAGGTAACACAAGCAAGGGGTAATGTTCAGACCACGCTACCTTACCTTGTCTCCACCCCCAAGGTAACACAAGCAAGGGGTAATGTTCAGACCACGCTACCTTACCTTATCTCCACCCCAATTAGAAAGGGGTTACCAGGGGGAAGACGATAGTAACCACTAGAATTTTCCAAAACTTACGTCAGCTCTCTTATTTATATGTATATATATATGTATATATATATATAAATATATATATATATATATATATATATATATATATATATATATATATATATATATATATATATATATATATATATATATGTCGTACCTAGTAGCCAGAACGCACTTCTCAGCCAACTATGCAAGGCCTGATTTGCCTAATAAGCCAAGTTTTCCTGAATTAATATATTTTATATAATTTTTTTCTTATGAAACAATAAAGCTACTCATTTCATTATGTATGAGGTCAATTTTATTTTATTGGAGTTAAAATTAACGTAGATATATGATTGAACCTAACCAACCCTACCTAACCTAGCCTAACCTATCTCTATAGGTTAGGTTAGGTTAGGTAACCGAAAAAGTTAGGTTAGGTTAGGTTAGGTAGGTTAGGTAGTCGAAAAACAATTAATTCATGAAAACTTGGCTTATTAGGCAAATCGGGCCTTGCATAGTAGGCTGAGAAGTGCGTTCTGGCTACTAGGTACGACATATATATATATATATATATATATATATATATAGATATATATGTCGTACCTAGTAGCCAGAATGCACTTCTCAGCCTACTATGCAAGGCCCTATTTGCCTAATAAGCCAAGTTTTCATGAATTAATTTTTTTTCGACTACTTAACTTACCTAACCTAACCTAACCTAACTTTTTCGGCCACCTAACCTAACCTAACCTACAAAGATAGGTTAGGTTAGGTTAGGTAGGGTTTGTTAGGTTCGGTCATATATCTACGCTAATTTTAACTCCAATAAAAAAAATTGACCTCATACATAATGAAATGGGTAGCTTTATCATTTCATAAGAAAAAAAATTGAGAAAATATATTAATTCATGAAAACTTGGCTTATTAGGCAAATCGGGCCTTGCATAGTAGGCTGAGAAGTGCGTTCTGGCTACTAGGTACGACATATATATATATATATATATATATATATATATATATATATATATATATATATATATATATATATATATATATATATATATATATGTCGTACCTAATAGCCAGAACGCACTTATCAGCCTAATATGCAAGGCCCGATTTGCCTAATAAGCCAAGTTTTCATGAAATAATATATTTTCTCTAATTTTTTTCTTATGAAATGATAAAGCAACCCATTTCATTATGTAAGAGGTCAATTTTTTTTATTGGAGTTAAAATTAACGTAGATATATGACCGAACCTAACCAACCCTACCTAACCTAACCTAACCTATCTTTATAGGTTAGGTTAGGTTAGGTAGCCGAAAAAGTTAGGTTAGGTTAGGTTAGGTAGGTTAGGTAGTCGAAAAGCAATTAATTCATGAAAACTTGGCTTATTAGGCAAATCGGGCCTTGCATAGTAGGCTCAGAAGTGAGTTCTGGCTACTAGGTACGACATATATATATATATATATATATATATATATATATATATATATATATATATATATATATATATATATATATATATATATATATATATATATATATGTCGTACCTAGTAGCCAGAACTCACTTCTCAGCCTACTATTCAAGGCCCGATTTGCCTAATAAGCCAAGTTTTCCTGAATTAATATATTTACTATAATTTTTTCTTATGAAATGATAAAGCAACCCTTTTCTCTATGTATGAGGTCAATTTTTTTTTATTGGAGTTAAAATTAACGTAGATATATGACCGAACCTACCCAACCCTACCTAACCTAACCTAACCTATATTTATAGGTAAGGTTAGGTTAGGTAGCCAAAAAAAGCTAGGTTAGGTTAGGTTAGGTAGGTTAGGTAGACGAAAAAACATTAATTCATGAAAACTTGGCTTATTAGGCAAATTGGGCCTTGAATAGTAGGCTGAGAAGTGCGTTCTGGCTATTAGGTACGACATATATATATATATATATATATATATATATATATATATATATATATATATATATATATATATATATATATATATATATATATATATATATATATATATATATATATATATATATATATATATATAATATGTATGTGTGTGTGTGTGTGTACTCACCTAGTTGTGCTCACCTAGTTGTGCTTGCGGGGGTTGAGCTCTGGCTCTTTGGTCCCGCCTCTCAACTGTAAATCAGCAGGTGTACAGGTTCCTGAGCCCATTGGGCTCTATCATATCTACACTTGAAACTGTGTATGGAGTCAGCCTCCACCACATCACTTCCTAATGCATTCCATTTGTCAACCACTCTGACACTAAAAAAGTTCGTTCTAATATCTCTGTGGCTCATTTGGGCACTCAGTTTCCACCTGTGTCCCGTAGTGCGTGTGCCCCTTGTGTTAAACAGCCTGTCTTTATCAACCCTGTCAATTCCCTTGAGGATCTTGAATGTGGTGATCATGTCCCCCCTAACTCTTCTGTCTTCCAACGAAGTGAGGTTTAATTCCCGTAGTCTCTCCTCGTAGCTCATACCTCTCAGCTCGGGTACTAGTCTGGTGGCAAACCTTTGAACCTTTTCCATTTTAGTCTTATGCTTGACTAGATATGGACTCCATGCTGGTGCCGCATACTCCAGGATTGGTCTGACATATGTGGTATATAATGTTCTGAAAGATTCCTTACACAAGTTTCTAAAGGCCGTTCTTATGTTAGCCAACCTGGCATATGCTGCTGCTGTTATCCTCTTGATATGAGCATCAGGGGACAGGTCTGGCGTGATATCAACTCCCAGGTCTTTCTCTCTCTCGGACTCTTGAAGTATTTCATCTCCCAAGTGATACCTTGTATCTGGTCTCCTGCTTCCTACCCCTATCTTCATTACATTACATTTGCTTGGATTAAACTCTAACAGCCATTTGTTCGACCATTCCTGCAGCTTGTCTAGGTCTTCTTGAAGCCTCAAACAGTCCTCTTCTGTCTTAATCCTTCTCATAATTTTGGCGTCGTCAGCAAACATTGAGAGGAATGAGTCTATACCCTCTGGGAGATCATTTACGTATATCAGAAACAGGATAGGTCCAAGTACAGAGCCCTGTGGGACTCTACTGGGGACTTCACGCCAGTCTGAGGTCTCACCCCTCACTGTAACTCTCTGCTTCCTATTGTTTAGGTACTCCCTTATCCACTGGAGCGCCCTACCAGTTACTCCTGCCTGTTTCTCTAGCTTATGCATCAACCTTTTATGGGGTACTGTGTCAAAGACTTTCCGACAGTCCAAAAAAATGCAGTCCGCCCACCCTTCTCTTTCTTGTTTAATCTTTGTCACCTGATCGTAGAATTCTATCAAGCCTGTAAGGCAAGATTTACCCTCCCTGAACCTCCCTGTGTGTGTGTGTGTGCTTCAATATGACCGAAAAGTAACACGATTCTTCTCAATATTTCTTATATTTTTCTTCACACAGTGGTGGAGGGGGAACAACACAGTGGTGGAGGGGGAACAACACAGTGGTGGAGGGGGAACAACACAGTGGTGGAGGGGGACCAACACAGTGGTGGAGGGGGAACAACACGGTGGTGGAGGGGGAACAACACAGTGGTGGAGGGGGAACAACACAGTGGTGGAGGGGGAACAACACGGTGGTGGAGGGGGAACAACACGGTGGTGGAGGGGAACAACACAGTGGTGGAGGGGGACAACACAGTGGTGGGGGGGGAACAACACAGTGGTGGAGGGGGAACAACACAGTGGTGGAGGGGGAACAACACAGTGGTGGAGGGGGAACAACACAGTGGTGGAGGGGGAACAACACAGTGGTGGAGGGGGAACAACACAGTGGTGGAGGGGGAACAACACAGTGGTGGAGGGGGAACAACACGGTGGTGGAGGGGGAACAACACAGTGGTGGAGGGGGAACAACACGGTGGTGGAGGGGGAACAACACAGTGGTGGAGGGGGAACAACACGGTGGTGGAGGGGGAACAACACAGTGGTGGAGGGGAACAACACAGTGGTGGAGGGGGAACAACACGGTGGTGGAGGGGGAACAACACGGTGGTGGAGGGTGAACAACACAGTGGTGGAGGGGGAACAACACAGTGGTGGAGGGGGAACAACACGGTGGTGGAGGGGGAACAACACAGTGGTGGAGGGGGAACAACACAGTGGTGGAGGGGGGAACAACACAGTGGTGGAGGGGGAACAACACAGTGGTGGAGGGGGAACAACACAGTGGTGGAGGGGGAACAACACGGTGGTGGAGGGTGAACAACACAGTGGTGGAGGGGGAACAACACAGTGGTGGAGGGTGAACAACACGGTGGTGGAGGGTGAACAACACGGTGGTGGAGGGTGAACAACACGGTGGTGGAGGG